TAATATTAATCAATACTGTATGAACAAGGTGCACAAGTAATACACACACACACACAAACACACACATAGAGTTTGGTCCCAAGTTATTAGTATTTTTAATAGTGTCACCTATGTCCAGGGATGGTCAAGAATCCTTTGCAGAACTTAGGGCTAAGTCATTAAAACATGTCTAATAGCAGATGCTGCATCTGTGGCTCACAGAGGAGTTAGATTGAGTAACATCAACAGTTGCTAGCGGAGCTAACCACAAACTCTCACTCCCTTGTGAAGTAAGTTCACCTTTTATCAGTTTCCTCTATACTGTTGGCTTTATACCTAGAAGTTAATATCAGAGAAAGAAGATCAAGCTGGAACTTGATGTGGCAGCATAATGTCCATTTTAGAAACTATATAGAAAATTAAAATCTATCTAGAGGTGTCTGCAGGTGTCTGCAGTTTGAGTCCCAGGTAATCTGAGAGTACTGAGTACTGAGAGTATTTTGGAGAAAGTTGTGTATTTTAAATCAGTTGGCTGAGAAGCTGGCTGGACCATTAATGTTGGTTTTCAATAAGTCTTGAACACTGGGGAAGTTGCAGAAGACTGGTAGACAGCTATTGTTGTGCCAGTACTTAAAACGGGTGAACAGGAAGCCCTGGGTTATTTTAGGCTTATCAGTCTGACATCAATCGCAAGAAAGATAATGGAATAGTTGATATAGACAGGATTAATACAGAATTGAAGGCAGGTAACAGAATTAATGCCAATCAGCATGGGTTTATGGAAAAGAATCCTGTCAAACTAACTTAATATATATTTTTATGAGAATACCAGTATGGGTCATGAAGATAATATTGTTGATACAATAGACTTATTGTTAACTTGGTACCACATGACATTTGGATTAAAAATATATATATATAAAACTAACATGGCATACATTAAATGGACTAAAAGCTGGCTAACTGATAGGTCTCAAAGTGTAATTGTAAACAAGGAATCATCATTGATGGGGTACATGTCTCGTGGGGTCTAGTAGGGACTGGTGAATTTTAAAGAGAAATTTATCTATATATATCTATATTTATATAGATATAGATAATAGCTCATCATACTGCAACATAAAGTCATTTCACTCACTAACAATACTGGTAACATTAATGGCACAGAAAAAGAAAACAGCTCTCTTCTCTGTACCCTTTACTGGTTATTCTCTACACTTCATCTGCTACTAAGAAGGATGGCTACCTATGTCATGAGATCTCTTCAGAAATGCCAGTCAAAGGGTTCATCAGGCGAAATGGCCAAATAGCACTTATGAGATTTCAATGGGTTTCACTTTACAGGTTTTCACTTTCCATTCGTTTCACAACATATCAACAGAGCTTATCAGCTTTCTTATTACAAACAAATCCCATGGTATACTATATAAATGATCACTGATAAAGAGAATGAGAAGTGACGGGGCTACAGCTGCAGCCAGGGAAACTGAAGGAAATTTCCAAACTTCTGTAATAGAGTCAGTGCTCACTTGGAGCCCAAGTTGGATCAATGAGGTAGAACAACTGTACCCCTGATAAGGGTTAGTTTTTCACCAAGTGAAGCAGAGCTGTGAGTATTAAGGGCTAGACACTTAGGGTTTGTCTACACTACAAGAGCTACAGCAGCATAGCTGATCTCTACGGCTGAAATTTGATCCCCTAATCCAAATGTGACTTCAGAGGGAATGTCTACACCGCAACTAGACACCCGTGGCTGGCCTCAGGCTGTGGGGCTGTTTCACTGCTGGTTAGATGTCTGATACTGGGGCTACAGCCTGGGCTCTAGGACTCTGTGAGGTGGGACGGTCCCAAAGCTTGGGCTGCAGCCGGACCCAGAAGTCTACACAGCAATGAAACCACCACAGCCCGAACCCCACGAGCCTGAGTCAGCTGCCATGGGACAGCCCCAGTTTTTCCTTTTTTACGATATAGACGCGCTCATAGAGCAACTGCAATATTATTTTATTATTAAAAATTCTTAGCACTGTGGCAACTCTGCTCCCACCATATGATCAGGTAAAACACAGCACTCCTTGAACAGAGCTAAGGGCCTTTTGTTTTAAGTCTTTATGATAAGGGGACCAGCTGCCTGAATCATGAAACTTTATCCCTAAATAAGTCAAAGCAGAGACTTGTTCTACAGGGTGGCCTCCTATCTTCCGCTAAATGTGTGGATGCTTCTTCCCAGAAATCGTGACTTGGTCTCATTATAAATGAGAACCAGGTCTTGGAATTTAAAATAAGAGGAAAATAGAGATAACAGCCAGAAGATGCCTCATGGAGTTTGCGATAAAACAACCATGTCATCAGCATATAGTAACAGCGAGATAAGTCTACCTTTAAGGTGTGGTGGAGAAAATTAATTTTCCTTTATAACATCCACTTAATCATTAATATATACATTAATAACAAGAGGTGCTAGAAGGCATCCCTGGTGTTCTCCCCAAGCCACTGGGAAAACATTCTCCATTGCCTTTACCCGACCCACAGCACTCTGGTGCAGAGCCTCCAAAATGTTCAGAAGTCTTAGATCGATACCCATCCTTCATTGTCTAGATCAATAGAATCAAATACCATCTTTAAAACACGAATAGTAGCATACAGTTCATACCCTTAACCACAGTATATTTATAAATCATACAGGAAAAAATAAAGCCATTATCAGCTTGTGTCCTCTTCTTCTGGCCTAACCCAATCACTTCTTGTTCTCTCTGTCCTGAAAGAATGAGACAAATCCTGAGAGGTGTTTGGCACCTGCAAATGCCACTGGCTTCCCCATGTTTGATGCATCAACATTTTATGTCTCTACTTTAGATAGTTATTGTTAAGGCTGATGCTTTTTATGAGAGAAAAAAGAAAGGGAAACCTCATGGTTTTCTACCATCACTAAATGTAAAATTCCTCAATTTAGATACACAGCAAAAAAATCCATGGATTCCTGGCATACAATATTTATAATGTTATTCACTTTATTTCTCATAAATCTCTCTTAAAAAGGATTTTTAACCTCTTTGGAATGGGTTTTAATACATGAAATTAGTAAATTTCCTTAAATACAAGTAAAATATTGATTAAATATTGTACAAAACAATAAGCACATGCCCTACTATAAACGCTTCCTAGGTATAGTTGTGTTCTGAAATTCTTCTCTGCGAAAGGACCCTCATTTCAATTTAATAGGAGGCTTTCCATTTTTTCAGAGAGCTTTCGATCAGGCAGTAGATATTTGCTAGTTGTAAATACTCATATTGTAACTTCCACAAGGCAGGATCTTGACTACTGTGTTTCCCTGAAATTCTCCAGGAATGTTTATGATGCTGTATAAATTATAATTATGATGATAATTATAAACAGATTGCAGCACAAATTTAGTAAATGCTTCAAAAAAGATTTCAACAGATCAGTATTTCACAATCCCCAGTAGCCCATAAATAGAGACTCTCCATCTCCTCTCTATCTTGCAGTGTCTTCTCTCCAGCAACACTGAGCTCCCAGGCAAACTTCAGCCATGAAGATTCTCTACCTGCTCTTTGCTGTCTTTTTCCTGGTGCTGCAAAGCTCTCCAGGTAAGATCTTAATGAAATGAAGGGAGAATATAGAAGGACAATTGTGAGTCTGTATTAAGATTTCTAAAAATTGTGTATCATAATTTTTTCAGCTTTTTTTTCAAAAGAGTTG